TACAAAAGACATGTGATATCCCACACTTTTGGTTTGTTGGATCATTTTGGGTTGTTAAACGTATTCCCTAAGTAACACATACTATATAGTAATATGTTGAAATACTAAAAAAAAATAACCAAGATTTATATTTTTGTAAATTATACTTTATATCCTCTAGATTGTTACATGCTTTTAACAAAAGCTAATAAATTAAAGGTACAGTAGTATCTAAAAATAGTTGAATTTTCTTTCTCTAAATGCACTCTGTTATGTTCTCTTAATTAGATGGAAACATGTAAATACATGTTAAGCTCATCATAATGCACCTCAATAGATTAAAGACAGAAGGGAATACTATGATCATTTAAAATGACCTCCTGCACAGAATAGATCAAAGAACCTTGCTCAGTAGTTTCTGCACCACGCATTATGGAACTTCTGTTTGGAGCTTGGGAATATCTTTGAAAAACATGCATAAATTTGGCTTTAAAGATTTCATGTGACAGAATATATCTACTGGACTACAAGTAGTTGTTCCAAAAGTTAGTGCTCTTTGTTCATATGCAGTGGCTTAATCCTGAATTTGCTGAGCTTCAGCTTTACTTCACTGGATCTTACTGTAACCTATTTTATTAGATCCCTTTTATCTATTATCCAAAACACTTTCACTGTGTATTTTTAGTATATAGGGCAGAATCAAATTACATTTTGGCTAGGATTTTAAACAGATACTTTGATTTCTTATTCTAAGCCTCAAAACAATTTCTCACAGCTCTTTTCTGAACTCTTTCCAGAACTTTCATTAACCTTCCTTTCCAACAATGCACATCAAAATAGGACACAATATTTGGCAGTGGTTCTGTTAGAAGTCTTTGTAGAAATAAAGTCTCTGCATCCCTCTAACTCCTGTACAATACTCTGTTGATAGATTTATGGTAGCCCTTTTAACTGCAGCACTCCTTTAAGAGCTGACATTCCACTACTGTGCCTGTCAATCCTATTTCTCAGTGTCCCTGCATGCCAGGACACACTTGCCGCATACTCCATTTTCACCCAGCTGCTGTACAGTAGCACAGGCAGACCAGGAGCAGAAGAAACTTCTGAAGTCTGTGAGGTAGCAGAGTTTAAGATACAGAGTGTTTCCTCCTCAAGAGACAGCCTAACCTTCTGCAATTCTTATCCCATTAAGAGCTGTATATTTTTAGGGAAGGATACTACACACACTAACTTCTGATGACTGCCTAAATGGAAAGCTGCTAAGATGCTAGGTGACTTCTGCCACCAGTATTCCATACTCATGTGGTACAGACTCCCAAGACAACAGGAGTGTGTAAATGTGGTACTGCCTGCTAACTTACATAAAAGCAAGATTTAGTGTGTATGGAAGTCTCTGCAAGGTTACACTCAACAGCGGTTCTTGCTAGTTCCTCCTAAACAGCTCTCAATAAGAAGTAGATAGTTCTAAGGCACCTTGTAGTGACTGCCAGTTATGACTGACAGAAGATCATGGATCCAGCTAGGCATTTCTTCTTCTTCCAGAGTACTAGAGTGATTTACACTGAAACTACTGGGAAAACATTTGTAAACTGTTGCTGTTAGAAATCTCCCTTAAAAATGTAGGATCTTGTGTTTCTATAAATCATGAGAAAATCAACTACAGCTGACAAACTAATCCTAAGGCATAAAGAAATATTGAAAAGTTCTGAGAAATCCATCATTTATCCCTACGAACAGCCATAAGCATAAAACTTTTCAAAATATCTTAAGTCATTGTCATTCCTGTTCTCTATGAAAATCTACTCTTTTTTGTAGGTCTAGACTTGCTCCCATTTAGCACCAACTCTGAACAGCATAACATACTAGCCTGTTGTGTTTATGTTCTTATCTATTGCATTTTGTTTTCCTTAAGGAATCTTTTCTACATCTTCAACTACTCCTTGGGTACAAACTTTCTTTCTAAGGAGTACTGATATAAGCAATTAGGAAAGAGATACCATCCTATGATCTGTTATAAGGTCTATGGGACATAAGAGAAAATGCTACTCCTATACTTATCAGGATGCCTGTAACACCCTGACAGGTTTAGTCTGCATTTAAAGGTTTGTTCACAAAACTATGTAATTTAGGATTGGCAAAACAAAATGATACCTGTAAGTGGCATAGCTCTCAAGGCATACCATTACTACACAAGCAATACAATTCTCTTATTAGTAAAGTTTATTTCATTTGAGGTTCACCTGTACCAGTTAATTGTCTAATGTGAACAAGTTCTTAAATAGCTATTCATTTAGTGGTTTAAGACACTGGTTTCTGGGGTTTTGGCATCTGTGCATCTGATCTTCCTCTAGAGAAGGAAACTTTGCGTTTGAACAGCACAAATGCAGTCAGGTGCTACTGGAAGACACTGATCCCTTTACTTTCTTGGTTCCAACAGATCTTTTGATTTCTATGAACATCCTATAAACCATTCCAAAGAACATGTAAATTTCTAGAGAACATCACTATTGACAAACACTTAAGATAGCAGGTCAAGATAATTCCACTAACTAAACTTAGAAGAATTGAGGATATATTAATATGAGATGGTTAAAGACAGCTAAAAGCAGAGAACAGCTGATACTACCCAGCACAGTTTAATTGCCAGAGGTAATAGCAACAGCTAGAATGTACCTAGGGTTTTGTGGAGTAGTCCAACTCACTTGCACAAGGCTGCATAATTAAAAGAAACCATTGGACGATATTAATATATTTGTATCACATGACTTAACAACTGTCTCACTGACCAACCTCAAAGAGCAGCTTTCAAAAGGAATTGCCACTGAATGAAACTCTTCATTGTAAAGTTTCTGCAAAGCTGATCTAGCTGCACTTTATGTAATCAAAACTCGTTTTAAGGTAGACAGATGCAGAACTTGGTACCTAAGCACAAGGAGTGGAAGCTTCGCCTGCTGCATAAAAGACTGCATCCTTGAAAGCCATAAGTCTTCAAACATTTTTTGTGGATATCATGGATTTATGGCAGCTTATAAGCATCCAGGGTGATGCTATGTAAAGAGAGCTAATAAAAGCTTTGAAAAGATACACACTGGAGCAGTGAACCACATAAGGAATGGAGATTTTATTTCTGCATGTGGCACTGGTGGACTGCCACTAGGAAAATATGTAGAGCCCCAGTGTCCACCATTTCAAAAAGACATTCAAACTCTGAAAGAGACACAGAAAGGAAACAAAAACAGTTAGAGCAAATGTCTTATAATGTGTCTAAAAAACGCAATCTGTTTATTTTATCAGAAAGCAAACTGAGAAGGAGCTTGATTACACTGTACAAGTACTCTGACGGAGAAAAAATTCCAGTGCTGTGGGACTCCTTAAGCCAGCCAGAAAGCTACATGAACTCATGTCTAGAAGGTGAAACCAGGCACAATGAAATAATAAATGGAGCACTGGGGGGGTTTTAAGTACAAGTGATAACCTTTTAGAGTAAGTGCTACAAAAATTGAAAAAATCTTTGATTCTTTGACATCTTCAGATAAATTCTGGAGATGCATAAGAAGTTATGTTTTAACCAAACACAAGAAATTGTGCTCTGCACACAGGTAGGAAACACAAAGGCCTTGAGCAAAATATACAGGAGACCAGGATCAATGCTAAATCATACAATCATAGAATAGCTAGGGTTGGAAAGGACCTTAAGATCATCTAGTTCAAACCCCCCTGCCATGGGCAGGGACACCTCACACTAAACCATGTCGCCCAAGGCTTTGTCCAACCTGGCCTTGAACACCACCAGGGATGGAGCATTCACAACTTCCTTGGGCCACCCATTCCAGTGCCTCACCTCCCTTACAGTAAAGAACTTTCTCCTTATATCCAATTTAAACTTCCCCTGTTTAAGTTTTAACTCATTACCCCTTGTCCTATCACTATAGACCCTAATGAAGAGTCCCTCCCCAGCATCCTTAAAGGACCCCTTCAGATACTGGAAGGTGACACTTGAACAGACACATAAAGCGAGTAATTGAGAAGTCTGGGATCACTTTAAATGCTGCGTATGCACTGCTAGAAAGCTACAGAACAATGGCAGAAAGGACAAAATCTTTGCAATGAGATTTTTGTAATGTAAAAGCTCATAATACTATTTAGACTTTATGACACATGTAACAGCATAGATTGAGTTGTGCTTAGGAAAAATGATACATTAATAGTACAGATAACACACGTATCATTAGATTGAATCCTAATGCATTCATTAAGGTAAACAGCAAGTGACATTTTTGTTTACAAATAAGCTAGAGTTTTTTCTTCTGTATAATGAAAAATTCTATCATAAGTCTCGTATTTTTGCCTTGGCCCATCCTTATCATGGATAACAGTATCTTCCTAGATAATCTGTATCTTCACAGAGACCTTTTACTTTCCATGTGGCCTGAGAAAGTCACTAAAATAATGACTGGTTGTTCTTGGACTGGATTGACCATCAAGAATCTAAGAAATATATTACATAAGATACTATAAAAACAAGACTAAATTCCCATACTCCAAAGGAATCAAACTGAAAATGGACAAGCCTGCAAACACCATGAAGAGAACTTGACACAAAACAGATATTTCACTGTGTACAGATAATTGCTCTTGGCTGATAAACGGGAAGAAGTTTTAAGGTTGTTTGTACTGTCATGAGATCACGTCTTGCAGAATCACAAATCTCCATCAAATGATCAAGGATTCTCTGATAGCATGTGAAGGGATTGTAATAAAGATTTGTGAGATGTCATTTACTAATAGCTAATAGAGTGGGTTTTTTCTAGATCACTATTTTCTAGTAGTGATGAAAACAGTATAATTTTCCACGTCCCTAACAAATATTCTCTCTGTTTGGCAAGGAAGTGATAGAAGAGTGTAATTAAGCAATGATGACCCTAAAGTGAAATGTGGATTCTTTACAATATACAATGTCCTTCCCACCAGCCACATGTGTTTGTCAGATGTTTACAGAATCTTCATTAACTAAGAGCTTTGCTAGATAACAGAAGCTGAAGCATGGCATCAATGACTCTGATAAGGGCAAGTGTACAACCAATCTGCTTGACAACTGACAAGAGGCTGCGGTTTGAAGCAGACTGCAAAAAGAACACAAGAAAGTGATTTGCAAAGGGTATTCCAGTTGTTTGCCTTCCATCTCCTTTCCTCTGTCTGTAATGAAACAAGACTTTTAAACAGCTAAAATACCCTTATCCTTTTGTCTCTCCACAAGAAAGTAAATATAGAAGAAATGCATTATTTGGGGGTATTAGCTGCACTGTCTGTTTTCAACATCATTGCCTGTTTGACAAGAGGTAAGCCTTTGGAAGACTGGAACAAGTTACCAGTTATGGGAAAGTCTGATGCACACTTTCATGATCCTGAGGAAGTCGAAGGTGAGACTCATTTCGACTTTAAATCTTTCCTGGAGAATATGAAGATGGATTTACTAAGGAGTTTGAATTTGTCAAAAGTCCCCTCACAAGTGAAGACCAAAGAAGAACCACCACAGTTCATGATTGATTTATACAACAGATATACTGCAGACAAGTCCTCCATCCCTGCATCCAATATTGTGAGGAGCTTCAGTACTGAAGGTAGGAAAAGCCCTAAATATGTGGACTAGAATTTTTAAAGAATTACATGGACAGGAGGCACTCAGATTCTTTTGATATTCAGAGGGAACTGAGTGCCAAACTTCCACCGATTATTTAGAAATAAAATAGATTAAAATTTTGGATTGTACTCTTGATCTGTAGGGTTTTTTCAGTCTTTAAAAAATACAATTACCTTTCATTTTCTTCTTTGATATTTTTACTGTGCAATACTCTTTTCTCAAATGCATCAACTGAGATGATGTACTGAGTAAGAGGGTTTACATGAATAATGTTTCTCAAAACTAGATAGTTGGAGCTGAGTTTTAATGTTAGAATGCAAATTTTTTATCATCTATATTTGAGATATCCATGCTAGAGAGCTCTTCTCTCAGGTGGGCCCTTCTTTAAAAAACACAGCAGCCAACCAAGAAATGTGTCCAGGGATCCAAACAGGGAACAGCAGTGCTCCCCCAAAATTTTGAGTTAGAGGGAAAGATTTGTATGGAAATGGGTAGTCAAGCTTGTGTTAATCAAAAAGAAAAAAAAATCAAGATCTCTATCTGTGTAACATTAAATAGACTTTTTAAAAGCTCCATCAAAGGAAGAAGTAAAAAAAGAAATAAATGCAATTCTTGGGATAAAAATGAGATAGGGAGAAATAAAGCTTCTGTTTATATGAAAACAGACATACAGAAGTAACAGAACTAGGGAGAACTTCAAATTCCTAAATTAGTGCCCCTAGCTCTGAAATGGAAAGAAGACTTAACAGAATGAGCTAGATTATAGGCTCCATATCTCACTCTCTTCTCTGACTGTTTTAGTAGGTAAACACTGTGAAGAAATATCAACATTAGCCAATTAAAACTGCTCTAAAGCCCAGTCATGACTGAGTACTTATTTTACATTGACCATCAAATAGACATCAGTCAGTGATGACTTTTAAACACTACTGATCGTCCACCCAAGTATCTGCCCCTCCCAAGGCAGAGTTGATGGTACTGCATACAATTTTGCAGGAAAAAAACAACCACAAACAAAACCACACTAGCTCAGTGTGTCCAGCCTGGAACGGACTGGGACCTGAACAAGAAAAGCTGTTTCTCACCAAGTCCCAACTTAGACACACCCTGAAGCTTCAATTCAGAATTTTCAAAACCTTTTTTATATCCCCAAACTCCCAGTAATCCGATATGCTTTCAAAGTTATCTGAAGACAACAAAAGCCTCAGCACAGCTAGTTCTTAGAGACACATAAATACATAGAATACTTCTCTGTATCAGGAGGGCAGTATATCCCATTGCAGGATGATAAGGAAATTCATAGGGTTTTTCAGGAATTCTTTCTGTAAAAATCTCTTAGGAAATCGCTAAATCTGAACACTCCCCAGATGCCTTATTTATGTACTTAATATTAATGAGCATCATTAGGCAGACTCTTATGCTCCTCTCCTCATACTCATCTGACCATGCAATTTTGGTGAAAACATTACCAACACCAGGGACCTCCATTTCTTCTTTCCATTCTCTGCCCTTGAAACACAGACAGAGGATGGTATTTTATTTTGCTTTTTTAGCACTGGATAGCCAAGCTCTTTTTGCAACTCCAAAATACATCCTGAGTCTTCTAAAAGCAAGTTAGTTAGACAGTCAGAAAAGCACTGTAACCACATTTTCATTTCCTATTGCAGATGTTATTTCTTTAGCTTCACCAAAAGAAAATCCATTTCAGAAGCACATCTTGCTCTTCAACATCTCTATTCCACGATATGAGGAAATCACCAGAGCTGAACTGAGAATATATATCTCCTGTCACAGGGAATTTGTCTCTCTCTCTAAGCTGGAAGGCAACATGGTCATTTATGATGTTCTAGGTGGTGACCACTGGGAAAACAAAGAAAGTACCAAATCTTTCCTTGTCTCCCACAATATTCAGGAATGTGGTTGGAAGATATTTGAAGTGTCCAGCGCTGTGAAAAGATGGGTCAGGGCAGACAAACTGAAAACTAAAAACAAGCTAGAGGTTGTTATAGAGAATAAGGCTCTGGGTGGTTTCACTTGTGGAAAGCCAGCTATCAGTGATACAAAAAATCTGCCCCTGTTAATAGTGTTCTCCAATGACCGTAACAATGGGACAAAAGAGACCAAAGTGGAGCTCCGGGAGATGATTGTTCATGAACAAGAAAGTGTGCTGAAGAAACTAGGGAAGAACAACACTTCATCTGAAGAGCTAGAACAGGGAGAGGAAAAGGCCATCACTGGGCACCACCAGCATTCCTCCAGAACCAAGAGAAGCATCGGAGCCAACCACTGCCGGAGAACTTCCCTCCATGTCAATTTTGAGGAGATTGGCTGGGATTCCTGGATCATTGCACCGAAAGATTATGAGGCTTTTGAGTGTAAAGGAGGTTGTTTCTTCCCTCTGACAGATAATGTTACCCCAACGAAACATGCTATTGTCCAAACGCTGGTGCACCTCCAAAACCCAAAGAAAGCTTCCAAGGCCTGTTGTGTTCCAACCAAACTGGATTCAATCTCCATTCTTTATAAGGATGATGCTGGTGTGCCCACTTTGATATACAACTATGAAGGGATGAAAGTGGCAGAATGTGGCTGCAGGTAGTATACAAAGCAGAATCTCTAAGAATAAGATACTCACTTTTTCTGTTATGTGTAAATCTGTACATTAGTGATACAAATGAAAATCCTTGCAAACAATGCTTGGAGCAGGGTATGGGCCTGGTTGTTGCTGTTGCTGCTTGTTTCAAAGGAAAACTGGCATTTAAAGAATGGCAATCATTGTAAATAGCCTGCATTATATATATCACGGCAAAGTGAATACTGGATTAAAGTATTGTGAGATTGAATGAATTGTGCATTATTTGGCAACAGTGATACAATTTGAATACCTTATTTCAACTTTTCTGTTTGAGCAGTTCTGTTTAGGTCACAAACAAAAGGATTCTCACCGGGGATTTACGATGTCCTGTAAATGTCTAATAGGTATTGAAACCGAATTTGTTCAGCCAACTCTGACATTTTCAACTTCTGTAAAACTCAGTAAATGGAATTTAGTCGGCGTGATAAAGTCAGAAGTCTAAATCCTGCAAGCCTTTTCTCACATCAATAATCTCACAGGCTTTTACAGGCAAATATTTACTCCTATAAGTGAAGATCTGAAGTATTCAAAAGAGAAGAGATTCTCAGCCATATTTCATTCCCAAGTTTCCTTCTGTGGGTAGCAGGTGCCTTGGTTTCAACTTTCTTATCCTCAATGTCCCTATTTTTACCCCCTTATGGCACATACTTGAATGATAAGAAGTGCAGCCTTCCGCTTCTAAGACACTGTTTCCTACAAGGAACAGCAACCCTTATCTCTGTACAAAGATAAGAAGACACTTTGACCTACTGCATATTCTTAGTATTTCTTTGCAAGAACATGCAGTCTAATGACGATCAGCCTATATCTTAGAAGCTGTATCCTAACAGTAGTGGGGGCTGGCAAAGCTCAACACTTTTGAAAAGCCCAGGCTACTTATTCAGAAGCCTAAATATGTTCTTTGGAGTCTGACATAAGTCTCTGATTTTTTAAAATTTATTCTTCTGGGAAATTCTATTTTACATATAAATTCACCCCTTAGAAACCTGGGAAAACCTGAAAACTTCTGTGTTCTATGAGACTTATACTGCTGTATGGGAAATATACTATCATACAACAGCTCTCATGACTTCAGTTGCATTTTCACTGAACAAGGAGCCCATCTTTCTGGCAATTAAACTTCCTTTGATTATAATGAAGGGTTTGCATGTTAAAGAACAAACATAATGTCTTCTCTTGGTTTCAGGTGATGGGTGTACGTGCGGTATAACGACACCATAATCCACCTCATTTCTACTCCTCCATCACCTTCCACACCAAAAACCCCAAACCAACCAACCAACCAAAAACAAAAACAAAGAAACCACTATCGGAGAACACTTTTGATCCAAGCCCACAGCAAACTAAATATCCATTTAAAAATGGCAAAGAATATTGATGAGGCAAAAATCTAAACAGTAGCTTAATGTATGGAAGCAACAGGATTTAAATCGATCCACATGTTTTAAATTAGGGCAGCCTGTGGGCAAGGCAAATTCATTTGGCATGAACAGGTCAGCTTGAAATCTAATACAGTTTATTTACTATTGATAACTTAATACAGAGCAAATAGCAGGTGAGTGTGAGCAGGGCAGTTGTAATTCCATCAAGAACTGCTGGTTACATCACAAACCATGAGCACATAGCACGATTCACCAGAATTCTTGTACTGATTTACAGGCTTTTCCTTTAGAACTGGGCTGCAACTGGATCAGATCTGAGATCAGTAAAGGGGTCCATGCAAACTCCACCCACTCATAGCTGTATGTCATTAACCTCTTAAGCTTCTCAAGGCAATCCTCTCATTTTACTACTCCCCAGCGGCTTCTGTCATTTTACAACCACTGTTATGTCTTACTTCTCTTGGAACCCCCTGTATTCTCATCCTGTTTTGTTCCTGTCTCCTAAACCCATGATACTCTCAACTTCTCTTAATCAAGTAAAAGAAACTACCAAACAAGCACTTGGTGTGATCACATGAGAAAAGTTATTCACCCACGTCTCAAGGTAATTGCAGCTGTGTGTCCTTAAGTCATCTAAACATAAGGTCCTAGTCATATTTTGACTTCACTGAATACAGGACTTTGTTCATACTTAAATGAAAAAGTGGGGAAGGAGACAGAACAGTTCCCACATCCTCAGGGAGAGAAATTCTGAATAATCAAATTTTTTTTTTGCTTTGTTTTGCTTTTACAATCTGAAGTCAAACGTTGGTCTTTGCTTCCCAAGCCTACTTGGAGGAGAAAGAAAAAGACAAACAAACAAACCAAAACAAACAACACAAAACCAAAGCCATTTTTTGGCTCAAAAACTCAGATCCTAGCTAGGCTATAAGAATGCCAGATAAGCTTTTCAGATCTTGCCCCAAAACTGGACTACAAGTCACTTTTGTATTTCAACCAAAAGAAATTGATTGCTCTTCCAGCCAGCTTTAATGATCACATTTCCATAGGCTTAACATTTTGGTTGGTACAATACTAAAATGAAACATGAATTTTTCCATAGGGTGTAGCTCAAGGTCAAGAAGAAATAAGAACCCAGTACTGACTACAGATGCTACCTACAGCATGTCTGGAGTGCATGTCAAACTGATGTTTGGTTTCACATTGTAAATTTAGCAGCTTGATTTATGTAGTTTTGAACATTCAATTTTAAAAAAATTGCTAAAGCTCCCTCATGTTTCAGATGCTTTGGGGTGCAACAAATCAGCCAGGTTGCCAATATGCTAGAGAGTATATAGGTTGCAAAGAGCAGGAAAACAACTTGCCCCCTGCTTCAAGATGGGCCCCATCAGACACTGGAAAAATAAACTCTCACATAATTGGATTCTGAACATCAACCAGCAGCTTGCTGCTACTGAGGAGCAGGTTGAGGCTTGTGCACAGTCCAGCAGATGCACAGTTAAAATAAAACTCGCATGTTTTAACACAAAAACATGGCTGGAGCATGCCCTCCTTCTCAGGTCCATTAGCTATCGCTGTAACAGCCCTGTAACATCAGAATCACCATCTTCCTCTGACAATTTTAAGGCTGCCTTATAGCACTTCAGTCTTAACAGATAAACATGGTAAGTTGGTGGAAGTTGGTCAGGAGGTATAGCTGTTACTATTCGTAGCTTCCCACCCTGTCTGTGTAAACAGCAAGCACAGAGTTCTCTGATCTCATCCACTGCTCTGGGTTAAGTCCTAACACAGAAGAACAGCTAGTGCAATTTACCACTTAACAACACAGCACCAGTGATCACTAAAAGTCAGAAAGATCTCCATGTTCACTATTCTTCTCCACAGGTAAGAAGCAATGGCCTCAAGGGAATCTAGAGGTGTTCGGCTGGTATCTGCTCAGACTGGAAAGATCCTGACAATATGGAAAAAGTTAACCTAGAATTGCCAGTTCCTGATATTCAGGCTAATAGGTTTTAGACTGCCTCTCAAGAAGACTTTAATTTCAGTTGTGCTTTAACAATTTAGGCTGCTCCCAGACCACATCTGATTCTTGTCTTCAGCCTCCTCAGAGCCTGGCCATTGCCACACAGGTAATGGACATAGGTGCATGGCCATGCACCAGGTAGGTCCACACAAGAACACACTGTGAGATTCAGGAGATATCAGTATCCTGCTATAACTCCTCATAGGCAGCACCAGATTGAATTTTATTACTGCAAAGAAGAACTGAAAGATACAGGTGGGAACAGAGAACAAGCTGGCAAAGCCAACAAGTAGTAAATGAACAATGCCTATGAGGCAAGACCCTGCCCTTAATAGTGTAACAGCTCCACATGCCAGCTAACAGGACATTGCATCTGCCTAATAACCACCCCCGTTTTCCCTGTGTTAACTCCCCAGCCTACGAGTTGTTGTGTGTTTAGCAGAGACAAAAACAAGGCAGGTCCTCCGCAGCCTCCAGAGAACGAGGGGCGAGCTCTGCCCGTCCGCCTGCAAGGCTGAACGTTGTAAGTGCAGGTGTCCGACTTGCAGACCTCTCCATGCCTCCCTGGTCTGACTGAGGCTTAGAAACCACCTCAGAGCCATCTCTGGCCACTCATCAGCCTTCAGTGCTTACCCTAGGCCCTGCCTCCACGATGCCGCGGCTGTGAGGGCCGGCCGGTTGCCCGCGCCGCACAACCTCTGGGCCCCGAGGGGGCTCCGTGCTGCCTCGGCGCCATCTGCAGGCTGTGTGGTGCTTCTGCTCCCGCTCTGCTCGTCACTCGCGAGGGGTCGACGCACATTTTCTTACTCTTCCTTACATGGTAGCTTGAAATCTCTCAGTTTATAGGTGCCTCTTGCCGTCTCTCTCTGGGCTGTCTTTTTTGCCCTCACCGCGTCTCCAGAGTGCCCCACTGACATGTCTGCACTGGCTGCTGCCCCCAGGCTGCCTCTGGAACGTGTCATCTCTCCAAGCTGCCTCAGAGCTGCTCCTGTTTCTTTTTTGTCCTCTCTCTTAGACCTCCTGCTGGACCATGAGTGATAATTCAGCCTAAAGCTTCACAGGAGAATGACTTAAGTGTTAGCTTTGGAAAATGGGGCGCCCTGAGTCAGTCCCCTCACTGAGGCGCATGGTTTAGCTGGAGCCCAGTGGATCCACTGTTAACCCTCACAAAAGCCTTGATGCTGGCACAGCAAGAGCAAGCCATATCCCAACAGCCTTGGTACTGGGCTGGCAATCAAAATTTCTGATCCAGCAATGGGGGAAACCTAGTTCTTTACAACCTACATAGTTTAAGATGCCAACAACTGGTCTGCCAGGACCTGCTGGGCACTTACATCCAAAGTCAGCATGGTCCAACAGCGCCAGCGTGCGTTTGACCAGTCATCAGAGGTGTCAGGCCCTCAGCAGCGCAGCCTGTAGGAATCAGATCAGTTTGGTGGCAGCTGTACATGATGCCTGGCCTCTAAACAAAGGGATGTTTGTACATCCTCTGACATAGATGGCAGCAGTTCTCACTGTTTCAGATGCTAACTTCAGGATAGGAGAGCTCTTGATGCAGTATTTAATATTCACTATTTATTTTGGACTAACTCGGGTGCACCAAGCTGAACACACATGTAAATCTATCAGAAATGTAGGATCTAGTGGATACAGACTATACAATACAAATGCATAATATACCAATTCTCAAAGGACTGCACATCAGTTTCCCTTTAAAAACAAAAAAAAAACAACAACAAAAAAAAACCAAAAACAACAACAAAAAAAAACTGACCAAAATTCAAAACTATGTTCCTGAATCAGTTCAGGTTGGATCACTGCAATGCATTTTCCTGAAGCTCTCCTGAATCTTCTGCTTACCTACAGTATGTCAGTTCATTGGTTCTG